GCGCCCCGCCCCGGGCCGCGGCGGGGGGGGCTGTTCTGGAGAAAGCTGCCGTTGTGAGAAAAAAAATAGCTGGGCAGTCAGCAGGAGAGCCGTCCTGGCAGCGTTGCTTGTGCTGCCACTCTCGTCCACAGTAAAGGCAATGAATTATGACCCATGGCTGGACAGGCGCGGTCAGAGCTGGGGTGGGGGCTCCAACACATGCCCCAAGGTGCCCCACAGCCAGGGCCAAGTGCGTGGGAACGATGGAGCCCCTCTGTCCCTGTGGGCCCTGTCCCAGGGCTGCAGCAACCTCTGGGGCAGAGGTTTTTCTTTGCATGTGATGGGAACGTCCAGCACGGTAGCTTGTGCCTGTGGCCTCTTGTCCCTTCGCTGTGCACTTTTGAAACGGGTCTGGCTGCGTCTTCTCTGCCACCCCATCAGTCTAGGGGACAGTGAGACCCTTTGTGGGGGAACTGCGATTGTATTGGGCTGCAAGTGGTTGAAGGACAGAGTGGGCAGCAGCTCCTCCTTGATGCCTACTGGGGGAACAGTGCCAGGTTCTGGCACATGCCTTGCTGTACCCTCACAAAAAGCCACATCAAGTGGCTTTGGGTTATAAAGGTGCTCTCACAAGGCTGTTACCCAGCCAGTAATTGGGACACCATCCTTCTGTCTGGGGGATGGTGGAAACGTCCTGCCTGCGTGTACCTGATGTCCATGTCACAGCCACGTGGGTGGTGTTGCTCAGAAGTCCTCTGCCAGCCCCAGCAGCCACCATGGGCATTAAATGCACTTTTATTTAAACCAAAGAGCTGTTAAGTTTCCCTTTCCACCAGAGACTCCCTTGCAGGCTGGTGCAAAGCCGCAACAGAGGTGATGCTTTTTGGGGGCTGGTGGGCAGCACGGCAGGGAAGGGGGATCTGGAGGGGAGCAGGCAACAAGCAGCAAGAGCAGCAAGCAGTGTCTTTCACCCAGGCTGCTCCCGGTGGCACAGTACAAGCGGGTGGTTGATAAATACAGAGAACATGCTGAAGAAAGCAGGTTTTCACTGTGTTTCATTGCCTAACCATGCTGTTTCCCAAGAACGAGATGGCATGAGCCAAAGTTGAAGCTGTCTGCTATTACTGATGTGGCATGTTTCCATTTATGCCTTTTTCACTGCAGCACAGGATCAAAGCACAGGACTTCTAGTCAGAGACAAGGTCCTAGCTTGGCCTTGTTAAACCACTTTCTAGTGTCATTCTTGAAAGTGACCTTTTCTTAAAATGGAACAGAAAAATCGGCATTTGGCAGATTAAAACCTGACCAGTCTTGAAATTCTCTTTCCTGCTTATTCTTACTGTCCATTTCACCCCAAATCATCTCTGATTTCTGTATTATACAGGGAATGATCTGGAATGAGATGCTGCTCGTGGCTGATAGGGTGGGAAGGAGCAGCAGGATCAGCTGTGAACACCAGAAACCTTGGCCCTTTTCTGCCACTGCTGATGAGCAGCTCCAGGCAACTTCCCTGATCCCTGTCCAGGCTCGTATCCTAGCAAACACTGCCTTCCTGGCCTGGGTTGTCCCTGACCCAGCCTGTGAAAGTCCAGGAGGTCTGGGCATGGGTGTGGGGCTGAGAGCTGGCTGCGCTTGTTAGTGCTGCCCAAAGAGCTGCTTCCATTATTTTAAAATTCATGGTCCTGATCTTTGAACAGGAGAGTGTAACCTTGGGGCTCCTCTCCTCAGGGTCACCGATTCCTTGCCGGAGCTTTGGGCTGATAGGTTTAAAGAAACAGAGGGGTTTACAGAGCCCAAGGCTGAGCAAAACACTTCAGCCCTCTGCCTGTCTCCTTCTTCCCAGTAAAACACAATGTGGGCTCTTCATAGCAGGCTCGGGGAGAAAAGCCAATGTATTTCTTTGTCTCTCTGGTGTGTGTGGCACCAGGCTCTGCCAGACCACGAGACAAAAGCTGGCGGTCATTGAACTGGGAGAAAAAAGTAATGAAAGCAGAGGAATTTGGGTGGGAGGGGGAAGAAGCTGCTTCTGCCTCCACAGGGTTATGCTCGCAGTCCTAGCACACAGAGCAGCGGTGCAGAGAACAGGTTCCCCAGCTCCGTGCCATGGTTGCTGTGTCCATTTCTAAACCCACAAACACAGCAGCCAGAGATGAGCTAGGGTCCTCACGGGAAGCCTTGAATGGTGCCTAGAAACAGAAACAAACACCAGGACACATCTGGGAATTGGGCTGGTGCTTGTTGAAGTTGTTGGAGGGAGATGATGGGCCCGATTTAGTGCCCTGCACGTAGGTCCAGGGGACCCGAGGCGTTGTGTCTGCCCCAGGAGGGACCCGCTGGGCCCTGCACCATCTCTGCCAGCCCTGCGCAAATGTTGCTTCTGCGTCCGCCTGAGGACAAGGGGCAGGTTCCATGGGATGAGCAGTGGGTCTTTTTTGCCTCCACAGAACAGACTCACAAGGTTAAGATGATACCTCCCTCTTGGAAACCACAGGCAAAGGTAGCTTTATATCCACCTTCATCTCATAAATCCTGGGCTTTGGGTTCTGGCTAGCTGCCATTTCCCCCAGTCCCTTCGTTCCCCCACTGTCTTCCCAGCACAACCGTGCCCTAAGGTTGCAGAGGAGCAGCTCTGAACCTTGCTGCTGGCCCACCAGGTGCTGTCATCTTGGCAGTTTTTGTGACCCCTTAAGAAAATACTGAATAGTGCTGCTGCCACTGCAACAAATTCTCTGGAGCTGAAAACACTGGGATCTTTCCTTGTCTGAAACATGGCCTTGAGCTTGGGTCAGTTCCTGGCTGAATTCAGCTGAAACAAGAAGAGACTACTGTGAAGTTCATTAGAAAGATACATGAATATGTTCTCCATCAAACCTGCGCTGAGAGAAAGCATTACAGCATCAATCCAGAGTGTCTCTCTGCCCCTGGTACAGACAGTAGCCCCAGCAGGAGACGGCTGCAGGCTTGCTGGTGGAGCAGGGTGGTGAAGGCTCACACCTTTTGCTGCATGGAGCCAAGTTACCTTAACAGGGACAGAGGAAACCATGGAGTTTTTTCTAGATGCTTCTAAAACACCTGTGTTTCTGCTTAAGACATTTCTGCCAAAACAGTGACCATTTCAGGTCTGTCTTCTCTCAAAGCAGAGGCGGCCATATTTAGACCATGTTTTGTAAAATCTCTTTGATCAGATCCCTTTTAATACAAACTAAATGATATCCCATGGCTTTGCAATTTTTACTCTAGCAGCGTAACGAATAGCAGTTGGCAAATAAGACCTTGTGAACTGAGTCTCATGTGCTGGACTGCAATAAAATGGGGGAAGTTGTGGCATTTGCTTTTACGAGCTGACGGTATCCCTTTCTCAGGGGAACACTTTCAGCATCTAATGTCTCCAGCAAGCAGAGCGCCCAGAAACAACAGGAACAGAGCATTACCCTGTCAGCTGTGGTCATATAAGACATATAAAAACTAGTATAAAAATAATTCCCAGGTAAGAGGAGTTTGGCAATTATTAAAAATAAAAGTTTCATAACTAAAACAGAATTTCTAAGGCAGGCGGGTTGTATAGAGACAGAAAAATAAAATTAACTGGTTCATCTTCCATCACTGTCTTTAGGCAAATATTATCATAAATTATCTGCAGATTCTGGCATCTGCAAGGAA